TAATCGGCTAGCTAAAAACGGCAGCTAGGAAAGGGAAACTAGAAAAGGGCAACGAGGAAGGCTAGAAAGGCATAGCAAGAAACGAATAAATAGCTATAGGCTGTAATAGCTACAGGTCTAAGTCTAACTAATGAAAATATAAGTACGCGACCTATATAAATACGTATCCAAAAGGCTACGTGGCCTAGATCCACCGCACCACTACACTACGAGGAGGAGGGGTCGGAATCGAAACCTATCTACGTTTAATAAGAGAGTTATCGTCCTAGGCGAGAGTATTGTAGTGGTGCGGTGGATCTAGGCCACGTAGCCTTTTCGATGTCTATTTATATGGGTCGCGTACTCATATTTTCATCAGTTAGACTTAGACCTGTAGCTATTACGACCTACAGCCATTCACTCGTTTCTTGCTATGCCTTTCTAGCTATCCTCGTTGCCCGTTTCTAGTCTCTTTCTAGCCTTCTCTTTCTTCTTTTCCTTTCCCAGCTGCCGTTTTCAGCTGGCCGATCAACCGATTACAGCTGTTTACAGCTGTGATCTTGGTTGATCGGCACTGGGCCAGTTGTTGGCAGTTGGGCAGTCCTTTTCGTGCCTCCATCACAGCGTGCCCACGCTGCTCCTGTTTAGTATCCGTAGTTGTTTATTCGCGTAACGACTCCGTAGTAAGTAGTAATATAGGCTAACGTTATTATTCGGGATAATACTAACGAAGTAGTTCCTTTATTTCCTCGCGAAGAGCGGTAGTTTAAAGTAATATAATTAGAAGAGCGATTTACGATAAAGAAAGCTCGGAACTTATTACTTTAGAATCAAGGTTTATTATTTAAGTAGCGACGAGCCGTTAAATAAAACGTATAACGCGAGGGTAATTATAATTAATTAATTTACGACGAAAGCTTATATAGCTTTAAAGGATATTTATAAAGCTACGTAAGAATAGCTACGCGAATAACGTAAGTAACGGTTAATAAAAGCTAGAGATTATAAATATTCGCCTGTTAAGCGATACTAGGTAGCGTTATTAATATACCGATAGTAGGAAATATTATTACGCAGGTCGTATTCTTTAGTAATAGTAGGAAATAGCGAGGTTATATTACTACTAACTCGGGTAGCTTTTCCGATTCTTTTAAACGTAAGCGATAATTCGATAACTTCTTAGAAATTAAATCGTATTAGAAGCTCTCAAGGAACCCGAGTAACTAAGGTAAAGCTCGGTTCGGTTAATTAACGGGTAATAATAAGAGTAACGATAGAAGCTAACTAGAATTTAAAAGCGCTATCTTTATTAGAAGCTTACTCTTTAGGCGCGAATATAAAGAATAGAATTAAGCTAGGAACGAGAATAAAGATAGCGGTAGCGTTAACGCGATAGCGCTTCCCTAGACTTAATATAGTATCGTTAACGATAAACGAGCGATTACTAGGCTATCCGTAACTTAAAAGAATAAGGAGACCGCCGGCTTTCGTTAAGCGAATAAACGTCGGCGCGACGGCGGTAATAATAGCAAGGAAATTATCCTCCCTGCTCCGAGCTTCCGTAAAAATACCTAATATATATAATAACAGCTTTATAAGTATTCGGTATTCGCCGATAATTTCTTTAGAAGCTATTAATCCGGCGGCGACTTAGGCTTTCGAAATAAGAACGATTACTAGCTCTTATTCGATTATAATAATAAGCGCTTAACGGGATCCCGGAATATTTCGAATAATTACCTCTAAGTTACTTCCGGAGTCGCCCTTTATAAAGCTATCTATAGTTTTTATATCCCGAAGTATAAACTCGAAAGTATTATTATTATTATCTAGCTTTATAACCCTTTACTCGCGAATAACGCGACGGATTCCCTCTCGCTTTAAATCTCTACGTACTTATTCCCGCTTAATATAATAAGCTCGCTACTTACGAGCCTTACCTTTAGAGCTACTCTTCTTACGAACCTACTTACGAGTAACGGCCTTAGGCTTTTATTTAACGAAGAGAGTTCGAGGAAGCGAAGGAATACGGCGGGCTATACGAAGCTCGAAGGAACGTAGCTCCGTAATATTTTATATTATAATTAAACCTTGGTCGGAAATCTAAAGTAGATGATTAATTAAAGGCTTATAGCTTATAGTAATTATAATATAAGAGTTAATTTATATACCGATAGATAAATTATTCTTCCTTATCATAGTATATAAAGAGATTAGTAATACTAACGTTAAAAGGGAAACTACTTATAATAACTACCGAGATATATATATTAATCGCGATATCGCGGGTAGAGTTATTTCAGCAAGCGATAGTAACGTCGAAGAACGTATTACTAGGTATAATAATAGGAGTAGTTTTAGCGGTACCCGGAATACTCGAAATAGCGACGCCTTCTTTTATAGCAGAAGATTAAGTAATTAGTTTTACGTATTCGGCCGGAGCTCGGTCGGATATAGCGGTATCGTAAGCTCGTTCCTTAATAAATATCTAGGCGTAGTTACGGAACTAGCTTATATCGTTACTTAATATCTTAACCGCGTTATTAATGCTAGTAAGGATTTCGTAAGAGCTAAAACGGTCGGATATTTTATCGAGCTATTAACTTTTAATTATTTATATCCGTATTAATATTATAAGAACGTAAGCTTATCTTACGCCTTACGTTTATTATATTAATATATAACTTACGTTAATAATTTAATATAAGTTCGTTACGAAAGCGAATAATAATAAGGGAGTATTATAATTAAAAGAAGACTTATTTAAATAAAGTACAGACGAATAAAGTAATATATAAGTTATATTCGTAATCGAAAGTAATAGGGAATTAAAAAGGAGCGTATCTAGTTAGCTCTAGATATGCCTTTATAGAAGAAAAGAGAAGAGGGAGAGAGCTATTACGAGAGAGTAGGAGAATTTTCTCTTATAATATAGGAGCTCGAGTATAAGGAGGAGCGTTACCGGGTATTAGCCTAGTAAAGTTACGAAAGGATTCGCGTACGATAATAATAATATAAAGCGACGTAATAAGAGCCCTTATACGCATATAACGAATACGGTAAATATACTTAATTAAAAGCTACGATATATCTCTTTTATTAGGATATTAAGAAGAGTTAATATAATAACTAATTAAGAGAATACTTTAAGTTATTAGGAGTATTATATAGAGGCGTAAGTAGCTAAAGCGACGAATATATTACCCCGGAGAGCTAGCGAGGCGAGTAAGGCTCGAATTAACCTAGGACTTCTATTAAGAGGATAGCTATGCTAATTATCGCAAGCCTTTCGGCTAAGCTATTATTATTATTTAGCTAAGCTCGCTATCGCGAGCCTAGCTAGGGGGTATATTACGTAAAGAGCTACCTATATATAGCTCCTTACTTTTTCTTTAGTTACTCGCTTACCTAATATAGCTCTTAGTTCGCTTATATAATATAGCTCGTAACTTCTTATCGTTTATATATAGGTAGCTCGTATCTCCTTTGTTTATCTTCTTCCTTCTTAGATAGTTAGTTAATTTACCTTCTTCTTCCTACCTTCCGTTACTCCTAAGAAGCAACCTTAGTACCTACGTAGCTCTCCTTATCTACGTATCATATAGATAAAAGATGATCTTTAAACGAAAAGGAACGACGTATTTTAATACGTCCTTTAACGGATTCTATCGGATTCGTTAGCGGAAAACAAACGAGGGTTTTTAAACGACGGTAAACGAACTAACGATTCCGTAGCTACGGAAGCTAAGCTAAACCTAGTAAGCGTTTATATACAACTTCGTACGTGGGGCTTTAAAGCTTTACAGTTTAATAAAAGGATCGAAACAGTAGCCATAAGGAAATAGTAATACCTTAGGAAGAAAAAGAAAGCCATGAGGAATAGTAATACTTTAGGAAACGAAAATAATAACCCGGGAAACGGATAACGTAACCCGGGAAACGAACGGACGGCGATCCTAAAGAAATAATATATCGGAGGGTTAAATAATACCCGAAGCGTTAATAATACTTTAAAAGGAGAAAGGCGAATCCCTTAGGAGCGGTAGTACCCCGGGGAACGGAAGTAGTAGCTTAAGAAACGAATAACGTAACCCGGGAAACGGACGAAGTATCCGAAGGATTCAGAGTAATCCTCTAGGTAAACGAAGAATAAGAAAAAGGGCTTTCTGGGAAGAGTCGGATATCAGAAAAGGCGTACCCTGGTAAATTAAAGCCTCCGAGAAGGAAATGGATAAGGAGGAGGAGATTCCGGGGTATAGTATAACCATTGAGGAGAAAGAGAAAGAAACCCGGCCCTACCCAGAGGGCATTAATACCTTGAGGAACGAAGGGAAAAGGAAACCTAAGGAAGTATTAATTCCTTAAAAAGCGGAGGTAATAACCTGAGAAACGAGTAACGTACCCCGGGGAACGGAAGTAATACCTAAGAATACGGTACGTATCTTAAGGCACGGAAAAACGAGTTAAGTTATTAAGGCTAAACGCTAAAGAAAAAGGTAGTAGGGCGTACTTTTTTTTTTCTTTTTCCGAGAAAGGACCTTATATAATAAGCTATACCTATTATAAGGCCTTAATTAATACTAGGGCATGGTACGTAATTAGCCTCTTAATACCTACGGAAAATAAGACTAGCTATTATAAGTACGGCCTATAGTGTATACTTTCTTTCCTTTTCTCCTCGTTTAGCTTTAACTTATTAATATACGGCTTTTACCTAGCGAATAACTCATAAAACCGTAATATAAATTAAAATATTAAACATACTTTAAAATGGTATTTCATATATTATATTTTAAAACCTTATTAAAATATTAACTTATTAAAGTATCAAATTCATAATACTAATATATAATAATATAAAAGATATTATATTAATTATCATTATTTTATAAACTTATATTTTAAAATAATAAAAGAATTTCAAAATATTATATGTATTAATTTAATTTAACTTTTAAAATATTTTAACGAGAGTAAATACTTTCATTTTAGTTTCAAGAGTTATTAAATAAATAAAATGGTACAAGTATAAAAATCAATCAAATATATATAACTTTTACTACGTTACATAACAGCTTGATGTAGGTAGTTATTTTCTTCTATTTTCTTTTACTTGAACGTTTCCGTTGTTAGAATCTCATCAAGCACCTTCTCTGCGTTAGTGCAGCTCTCATTCACCATTTTCCGTTCCCTTTTACTCTTCAAAAGGTCCGACTGGCGTACGTTTTCCCGTAGGAAATATTGAACGCCTCGTGCCTCGTCTGCGTCGAGTCCGCCAAAAACCTCCGGAAAGCCCCCCTTACACTCCTGCAACACCGATATCAACAGTATCTCGAAGAACACGTGAGCGTTTCCTTGCAGCATCGTAAGATTACGATACTTAACCACATCTGCTAACCGGAGACACCGACTGCCCACGAGAGACCCATACAGCTTGGCTGTGTTATACACCCACCGCATGTCATAGGCTATCCCGCTGTCGGGATCCAGATCATCTCTGTCCTTATTATCAATGTCCTCCTCCATTTTGCTCAGCCGTATTATTAGACAGCGTCGGAACTGAAACGATAGTTCTCGATCTCGACTGAATCTGGAGGCAACTAAGGTGTAATAGTGGTTGTAGCAAGATTGTCGCTCGCCGCTGCGCACGATTATCTCGGGGATTTCTTTCCGCTGGTGCTTGTTGAGTCTCAGATTTCGGATAAGCAGTTCGGCATTCTCGTAGTCCGTAGCTGCGTGCAAGGCCACAAATATTCGTTGTCGTATCTCTGTGTTGAAGCCTTGCTCCCTTGCTAGCTGCCAGAGATCCGGAATACCCAAACTCTCGTCCCCGGCTCGTAGACCCTTATCGATGTCTGCGGTATTCGTCTGGTCTGTTACTCCGCTTCGACCTTTGGCGCCGTCGTAACCCCCAGACCAACTCGCCCCGACTAACCACCATTTTCCATGTTTGTGCGCATCTTGTATATCCCTGAGTCCCATGCGGAAGGGTTGGACCTGCTGGTGGCCGCTTAAAGTGCCGATACGTTTCCTCAGCTGAGTCCGCTGGTCCACGAGATTTCGGTTGCGGGTTATGGCTTTTGCCTTGTTATTCTGCAGTGTTCTTATTTCGTTAACCATAAAATCTATCCTGGCTGATGTATTTCCCAAACCCGAGACTTTGATAGTATTCATGATGTCTCCTAATGAGCGAGGGTCCTCGTGCCTGAGGGATGGACCGCATAACTGGACGACCCTCAGAAGCAGCTCCGTATCGAGCTCCGAGAGTCTGCTTAGGAAGAGACGGATATAGTCGAAAACCAAGTTGCACCCAACAACTTGCATGTTGTAAAGCTCGGCTACTAGAGAAATTAGATGCTTTGAGTAGGGATCTGACTGGTCGCTCGGCGCCTGGCTATAATGACGCCCGAATATTTGAACGAGCTGTTCTATGAAGTAGGCACTGGCTGCCATCCCCGTGACTTTATGCGTCGCAGCGACAAAGCCAGATATCATCGTGAAAAACGAGTCAGGACGCTTTTCGGGTGAGCAAACCAAAGCTAAGATGAGATGCACTACGACGGAGGTAACCGTCTGTCGTGGGTGGGTATTATACAAAGCCTGAATGTCGATAATTATGCCAACCATATTATCATCTGTTAGTCGATTAATCAGACCCTGGATGCGCTTCCGGAGTTGTGTTTCTGTCTCGTTGCTGGGACCTGACGGCTTTCGGAGAGATGGTGGGAGATATTTCGCAACACCAACAGTTGGTGCCACGTAAGGATTTTCTCGTCCTCGCTGGTTTGAGTCAATTTTGCCCTCTCCCGCACCGCTTTCCGATAGGGCGCCATTTCCGAGATCTTGGGTGCTGGTGCTGGTGAAATCTGGTAGTCTGAATTTACCCTCCAAGTCAAATAGAGACCCGTTGCTAGGTATGGCATGGTCGCCTCTGCTATCATTGCCGTTACCCCAGGCGTCGGCGTTGGTGTTGTTATCCTTATCATCATCGACGTTTCCGTTGGGAATGAGTGTGAAAATAGCATCCCGGCCTTTTTGCCTCTTCTCAGCCAACCACTCGTCCGCTTCTACTTCATACTTTCTCTTCGAGCCAACCCTGGCGTCTCCCTCGTTGCTGACAAGCCCGTCCAAAAGGCTAACAAGGCCGTCGTCATGGAATGACTTTGGGAGTGACTTCCGACCTCTTAGGCCTAATTTTCTTTCCAGGTCGTCGATCTCCGCATAATCCTGTACGAGCCTTTGCCGCACAGACTTGGAGGCTTGAGGACCGTCGGGCGCTTCATCCACAGGGGTACCTCTAGTATTGTCACGTTGATGGCTGTGATATCGTCCCGGCTCTGGGCGGGCACTGAGTTGGTACCTAATATAGTTATCGTCATCCAAGTCGTCGTCGCTCCTGGGGGGAGTACTACGCAAGGAAGTGATTGTGGGAGGCGGATATAAGGGAGACTTCGGGGAAGGCCGAGGCTTGCAAGACTGCCTTCTCTGAACCCGCAGAGCCTTGCGCTGTTCTTTTCTGGGGAGCAGCCTCCTGGGCCTTGCATTGCCCGGGGAATGAAAAGACTGCTGGGTCTCCAACTGTGTTAAAATAGTCGAAGGGAGCGACAGTTTGCGCTTGGATCCTTGCCCCATTCTCCGGAATTAAATGAGAGAGATATGACGGGATTTTAAGAGACGTCAAGGGCGTCGCGAAGCAACGAAATAATTTACAGTATGCCTGTAAAGAAATGATGGACTAGTCGAATAAATTGTGAATCCACGCATAGGTCTTCAGGTAATACCGGCCCGACAGCTTCCGCCTATATTAATTTTCAAGCTCATAATCCTATCCGGAGGATACTTATAATACGTCAAACCCCTTGTCATACTAATTAATTACAAAGGCAAATAACTCTATAAATGCAGGGTCATTTAGGGGATACTTTATTTTTATTAGCTGAAAATTCGTATGCGCTATTTTAATTGGTTAAAAGTTCAGACGGCCTATTTAAAAGGAATACATATAATAAAACTACAATATACGCATCTATTACTATTTACCTATTCGCGCGTTCATTTCCTACCTATTTCAATACTATTTATATACGAATTAATTAATTTAGGTTAGTTTCTTTTGATTTAAAAGTCGATTACTAATCTCTTTTTGTAGTTTAATCTTATTTATATAGGAATTAATCTAGGTTAGTTTCTCTTCATTTAATCCAGGTTAGTTTCTTTCTATTTAATCTAAGTTAGTTTCTCTCTGTTTAATCTAGGTTAATTTCTCCCTGTTTAATTAAGAGTCGATTATTAATTAATCCCTTTTCGTAGTTAAATTAAGCGTCGATTCCTATTTACCTCTTTTTCTCTAGCCTTCAGAGAGGTACTAGGTTTTCGGTATGAAAACTTGGAAAAGCGTAGAGCGCTTTGACGTATTTTAGTATTTTAGATTTGTACTACGTATTACTTGACCACGGGCTACCACCCTGCGGGCTACTATTTAAAATACTGAAAAAAGGTTAAAACTTACTTTTTAAAAGATATTACTTTATATTAATATTAAGATAATTTGAAAAATTCTTTTATATAATATATATAAAGCTTTATAATTAAATATCCTTTTCTAAATTAAATCAAACACTATAATAGTATAGTAAAACATATCCTTTCAATATATTACGTAATACCTTAACATAGGCCTTATGTAGATATAAAGTAACTATAGTTTCTGTAAGTATAAATTATATTATAATTATTATTTAACTGGATTATCAACTTAGTTATTTATTATATTTCTATAACCAAGAGGTAAACCTAAGATACAATTACTATATTAGATTTCTTACCATTTAATTAATAAATTAATATTAACTGTCTTTATATTAGAGTGTCATACGGATTATATTTACTAATAAAAAATATTTTAATATAAATTATATGAAACTTTAGTATCATATACGCCTTGCTCCTTTTTAATAGTAATTACCTTAAGACTTTTCGAATTCTTATTTTTTAATCTATAGAGCTTTTATTACGTTATCAGGATTTAAAGAATATCAATCGCTATTGATATCGCTATATAACATATAAGTAAGCTACGTTTTATAGTGATTAACATAATCTTTTAATAGTTTTTAATTAACTTCTATGAAGATATATGTAAGCCCTAAAAGACTTTTATTATAATATTAAAAACTACAGTTGTTAGAGTATCAATAGGTATTAATAGAAGGAGCATAATAGCGCTAATAAGAGTACTAACGCTACGAAACTTCATTATTCTACTTCCTATATAGTTGACGTTTTTCTAAAGACCCGCCGTTGGAAAATAACCCGACGATCAGAAAGTAACCCAACGTTAAGAGGTTTTAAGTATTATTATATTAAAGAAAAAGAAACTTTATTAATATATTTCTTAATATCTATAAAAAATAATAGATATTTTCTTTATGAATACTTATTCCTTTTTCTTCTTAATTATTAATTTAAATATATAATTTACTTTTAAGAACTACTTAAAACTGAAATATTAAAAAGTATTATAGTGGTGTGGTGGATCTAGGCCATGTAGCCTTTTGAATGTGTATTTATATGGGTCTCGCACTTATATTTTCATTAGTTAGACTTAGACCTGTAGGCATCACGACCTTACAGCTATTCACTCCTTTCTTGCCATGCCTTTCGTACCATCTAGCCATCCTTCCTTTCCAGTCCTTTCCTAGCTGCCGTTTTCAGCTAGCCGATTAACCGATTACAGCTGTTTACAGCTGTGATCTAGGTTGATCGGCACTGGGCCAGTTGTTGGCAGTTGGGTAGCCCTTTTCTCGTGCCTCCATTACAGCGTACCCACGCTGCTCTTGTTTACTATAAACCAGTTTCGATTTAACGAAAGTTATTTAATAATATTAACGATATTATCGTTAGGCGCCGCTTTACATCTACATTAATACTTTTCACTAAATTAATTCTTAATTAATTATATAATACTAGCTTATATATAAGTATACTTATTAATTCGACTCTAGTCTCATATCCTTAATCATTTATATCTATGTAGTCTTATTAATATTAATTCTTAGCTATTTTGAAAACCATTCGTTATTAACAGCTATTAATTTATTAATTTTCATTTATATTATCAATATTAATATCTTTATATTATATTATATCGTATTTTAAATTAGTAAATCATTACGTTTAGGTATCTTAAAATACATTTAATATAATAAGTTATTAGTATTTATATATTTAAACTATATTAATTAATAAGTTTAAAAGAAAAACGAAGTTATCCTAAGTTTAATTAAGGATATAATTATTATTAATCTTTATTTACATTTAATATTAATAAGAAAATAACGAGTCATATAATTTATCGTAATTTATATTAAGGCGTTTATACGTCCTTTATATAATAAATAAACAATTATAAGAAGGTTACTTTAATCGTTATAAGCGTTATTTAATCGCTTATAATATATCGTAACGTTAATAATTTAAAGATGCTATTAATATCGAGGGTTAGATATTATCGTAAGTTATAGTAATATTATGCTGAAAGTTTCTCGCGACTTACAGGTACCTTTATATAAGTAAATAAACGACTATTGTAGTAGTACAGTAAGACATGCCCTCTTAATGCATTACGTAATAGGTTACGATAGGCTTTATACCTATATAGAGTAACTATAGCTTCTGTAAGTACGTATTATATAATGATTATTACTTAAATTATTACCTAATTAGATTATTAACTTTATTGTTTTTACCTTAATTTAAGAGTTATTCTTATCATTAGACCCGTCGTCTTCTGATTAATATATCTATTTTAGTTATAAGCGTTTAAGTTACTTTATCGTACTGTAATAACCGAATAAGTAACTTTTACGTTTAGCCTCTTTCCTCTCTTTACCTCTTTTACCTTTGGGTTAACAACTATTATATCTCTATAACCGAGAGATATACCTAAAATATGATAATTATATTAGTTTCCTCGTCTTTTAATTAATAAAGTAATTTTAGTTTTATTTATCCTGGACTACCGTACGCGCTATAGTTACCGATAGAGTATACTTTCGAGTAAGCTATTCGAGACGCTAATATTGCGTACACTCTGCTCTTTCTTACTATACGAAAATTATTTTAATTACTATAAACGCAGCTTAGTTATCATATTATATTGTAATATCGAAGGCTTAAAAGCGTCGTCGGTATTGAAAGGCTAAGCGTTATCTAACGGTAATAGTATTTATAAAAGCTTTCTTAAGACTTACGCATACCTTCCTATAGTAAATAAACAATTATAAGAAAGGATACTTTATTTATCGTAAAATGCGAACTACTTCGCTGGTTATATAGTAATACTTATAATAATTAGTATCCTTTAGATCTTAATTACGTAATAGAACTTTATAAATTAAAGATTAAATATTTGAAAAGCCGTATGGTAGTCGCTATTAAAATGAAATAGAGCGTACGCAATATTAAAATTCAGAATAACTTATTTGAAAGTATATTTTATTAGTAACTATAATATGTATAATATTTTAAGATAAATAAAATTAATATTACTATAATATATATATTTTCTATTTATTGATTTATAGTTTATATAAAAAGTGCGTAACTTATATTATAATAAATCAAAATGTATTATAATAATATTATTAATATAGTTTTTAAAAAATATTTACGAAGTTATTTTAAATTATTACTATTAAATTTAATATTTATTATATTGAAACATAGTTATAAATTTTCTTTTACGTTTTATTAAAATTTTTAAATATAGCCTTCCGTTTAATTCATTCCTTTATAGGGCTTTATTTTAATCTCTTAATACCTAGGTTAACTTTATTTACTTTCCCTAGCGGCAGCTATCCTACAGCCTTATTGTTATCAGGTGTATGAAGCAATGTTACTGGACTTGTTGATAAGTCGCGTCGTTTATATCTGTATCTGTAGTAGCTAATCCACAGACCTCGTTTCTTTCTTTGCAAGAAGACGATAGCCGCGCCTGCTAGTACGTTAATATCTAGCTTTATTTGTCTTGCCCTATCTTTTAGGTGCCTCGTTTCACTCCAGGTGCCTCAGTTCCAACTCCTAAGACTTTCTATCTTTTCATATGCTATTGAAGCACGCACCATCAGTCGCTGCGTCGGCGCAAGCCAAGCATGTGGCCTAGCAGGAGCGTATCCGGTCTTCAGAAAACATATGATGAAGCGTATCTCAAATGTTCCACAGCCGTCTACTATGAGAGCCAGGTGCGTGCCCATGAGGTCCACATATCCTTTTGAAACCTGACGTTACTGTTATTTCATCATCATTGACCGGACTAACCAGTCCTCTTGCTTGGTTCGTAGAGCGATGAGAAGGAGGCAATGCTATGCTGGAGGAATGCACTGGACCAGATACAACAGAACTCTACCACCAAGCGGCAGATGAACTACCACCCCAAGTCGGAAACCGAACGTGCCTTGCTAGACAGTTTACAGGAATTGGAGGTGCAGTGCAAGGAGAGGATTGATCTTCTAGAGGCGCTCAGGATGTCTCGCCAAGACGACACATTATCCCAAGTCACGCATGCAGAGATGGATACAAGCATAGAGGGCCTACAGCATCCAACCACGGCTGAAAGGGGATGGATTGGCAATGGGACAATACCCGCGATAACATACACGGAGCTGTCTAAACCGCCGCTACCCAAACGACCGATGCTACCTCCTATAATCCTACCCGAGCCTGGGACGGAGGGACTTCGTAGCGCCACCATCGACCAACCTTCGCCCTTGTCGTCTTTGACAACCAGACCTCCATTGCTACCTTCCTACGGTACATATATCCCGAGAAGAGGATCATCGAGAACTCCCAGCCCCGAAAAGCATATCATGAAGACAACTCTGAGGTCAAATAAGTCAGAAAGCCCCTCAAAATTGTCTCGGCATACATCATCTAAGGTCACCAAGGGCCTTGGGGCCAGTAAAGCAGCCACATTGGCTTGGGGTAGCCTCGAAAGGGTGCCCCAAGTACGTTTAAACGCAGCCGGCCCGTCATCAAGACTGCCCGGGACGCAATCCCACGAGCATGCGCGGAAAGGTTGCTCTACCACACCGCATTGGGATAGCCACACGCGAAGACTAGTAGTTTCCTCCGATATCTCTATCAACAATACGCCTACAACTGCCCGTTCGAGCACCGAGTTTTCACCGCGGATTTTGAACGAGTATTCCCCGACCCCGTCTTCGCTGGCCCTAGGCGCCGCCTCAAGTGCCCTAGGAGCGTTAGCCATACAGGACCGACATGAATCTAGTGCGGCGGAAGCCCAGACAGTCCAGGATATAATATCAAGGAAAGAAGTATGGCCAGGCTGTGGCAGACCGAACAGCATGCCGGCCCGAGCTCTGGCATCTCGAGAGCCAATTCTCCAGACCAGTCCGAAGGTATCCGCTAAGAGGAAGCCCGCGTATCACGTACCGACTAGTGCGAGTAAGCAGGCAAGCCACCAAATATCAGATGGCGGAAGAAGGGACCTGTCTTCTACCGACGAAGAGATCGGAGCTAGTTCCTTCACCCAGAGGCTGAAAGGTAAGCAGAGGGGCTCGCGGGTAGCTCACGTCGCCGATGATCGGCCCCTGGTGGAATACGGCCCCGAAGAGGGAAGGACTGTAAGTGACGAATGGGTGAAGAAGAAAAAAGCGGCTATAAAGAATTTACCGATGGGTATAGATGAGTTAGCCGCGAAGGCAATATTCAACGAAATCGTTGTCCAGGGCGATGAGGTCCACTGGAGTGATGTCGCCGGCCTCGATGTCGCCAAAACCGCACTGAGAGAGGCGGTGGTATACCCGTTTCTCCGCCCGGATTTATTCCTGGGCCTTCGTGAACCGGCCAGGGGCATGCTACTCTTCGGGCCTCCTGGCACTGGGAAGACGATGCTGGCCCGGGCTGTCGCGACAGAATCAAAGTCTACGTTCTTCTCTATCTCAGCGAGCAGCCTGACGAGTAAATACCTGGGTGAATCCGAGAAGCTTGTACGCGCATTATTTGCATTGGCGAAAACGATGGCGCCTAGTATCATATTCGTGGATGAGATTGACTCACTTCTCTCGCAACGATCCGGATCTGGTGAACATGAGGCGACGAGAAGAATCAAGACTGAGTTTCTTATTCAGTGGAGCGACCTACAACGCGCCGCGGCTGGCCGTGAGAGCACAGGCGGAGCGAATAGAGAACGAGGCGATGCGAACCGGGTGCTTGTACTAGCGGCGACCAATCTACCGTGGGCAATCGACGAAGCTGCAAGGCGACGATTCGTGAGGCGCCAATACATCCCTCTGCCTGAAGGGGGGACTAGGGCGACGCAGTTGAAGACGCTGCTTGGCCAACAAAAACACAACCTGACAGACGCCGACATCTCAAAGTTGGTGACCCTCACAGACGGTAAGTCTAGCTCGATAGAGTAAGAGGATAGCGAGGAAGCTGGCGCGATCCAAGGAAATATGCTAACTCGGCTGCCTGGCTAGGCTTCTCCGGCTCGGATATAACAGCCCTGGCGAAAGACGCGGCAATGGGCCCCCTCCGCTCGTTGGGCGAGGCCCTCCTCCATATGACGACTGATCAGATTCGAGCCATAGAATTCAGAGATTTCGAGGCCAGCCTCCGCACAATTCGCCCAAGCGTTAGCAGGGAGGGACTCCAGGAATACGAAGACTGGGCAAGGCAATTTGGCGAGCGGGGCGGGTGATATGCCGGTGAGGCGGTTAGGCCAGCTCGACAGAATTCGTACTGTGATAGGATGAGACAACACGATGCGAATGGTGATGTGACGAAGAAACTTAAGAGTGCTGCGCGATGGGCGAGAATACGATACCAAGGATTCACCGTTTGAACTCTATGAGGGTTCCGTCGACGTGGGAACAACGTCACGAGATATCGAAGGTATCATTGTACATAGGTATACTAGAGCATGAACAGGTTTGTGATTAGTAGGCCGCTGAATTTTCCCTGCGCGATCCTGGACGACAAAGCGGGATAGGGCAATGAATCGGCATTTGACTCGGAGCTTTTGTTCCTCCTTTCTCATGACGTATAGAGGTCTTGGATTCAGTCGACATTGTCGGGTACCGTAGGTGGCGGAGGTTGACTAGCCTCACGCGCCGCCCTCTTCTCTATTCTTTTCGCTTCCTTTGCAAGCTCTCGGTCAGCCTTTTCCTGCTTGAGAATCGCGGCCTGCTCAGCCCGTAGCGCGGCCTGTTCTGCCCGCAACGCACTCCTCCGCTCGTCCTTGGCAGCTCTCTTGGCTAGTCTCTCAGCCACCCGCTCCTCCAGAGTTGGTATGGGCGGGCGCTCCTCGATTGGCTCGCCATACGGCGCGATGATGTGCTTGACGACATGGCGGACATGCTGCGATATCCTCCACGTGGGTGTGATGGCCACAACGTCCCCTTGACGGACCGAGTTCCGAGGATCGTGGACAAGCTTGAATCGTGGATCCTTGAAATACTAGAGGGGAAGGACCAGCGTCAGAGTCGGGGGATCAACGGTTGGGGATTCACCGCAGGACACAGAGGGGGAGGAAAGGATAGCTTGCTTTGAGGAATAGCAGAGGATAGAGCTCGCCTTTTGCACTCTCGGCTCCCACCTGAGCCCGCCTAACTTGACCTTAACGGTCTTATCCATCAAGCCAGCTGATACTACGATGCCATGAAGCTCCTTAGCTGTATGTCGCGCCGTGGTAATGGCAGCCGTTAAAGCTTCAGAGGCCACCGATCCCATCTTTCGCTGTGCGGAGGCGGATTCGTTGTGCTGTAATGCCTATTGTGTTTGCGCAGTTAAATTTTTGAATGAGCGGCTTTCGATTTAGTTTTATATATTAGGGGGGTATTTTTTTTTTTACAGAAATAACCCGATCTAATAAATCATAGCTAGTAAGTTAGAAGGTAATAAACCAGTGTATTTTGGTTTTCTACTTTAGTATTATTAGCCTTATCTTAAACTTTTTAAAGAAAGTAATAACTTAAAATATTTAAAATATATTAATTAAAATAAAAATAAAAATTATATTTATTATAAAGTAGAATTTCATTTAAAATATTCCTATAATGTTGAAATATATATATTAAGAAGGAGCAGAGCGTACGTGATATTGGAGTCCCGGATAGGCTTACTCGAACGTATACTCTATCGAAGACTATAGTACGTACGATAGTATAAGATAAATAAAACTAATATTACTATACTAATCGAGAGACGAGGAATTTAATATAGTTATCGTATTTTAGGTATATCTCTTAGTCGTAGAGATATAGTAATCGCTAGTCCGAAGGTATAAAAGGAAAGGGGAGAAAAGGAACTAAATGTAAAAGTTATTTAATTTTAACAGTACGACGAAGAGACTTAAGCGCTTATGATTAAAATAAATATATTAATTAGAAAACGACGAATTTAATAATAAAAACGAATCTTTAATTAAGGTAAAAGTAATAAAGATAGTAATTTAATTAAGTAGTAAATTAAATAATAAATATAGTATAGCCCGTACTGAGGAGGAGCAGAGCGTACGCGATGCTGGAGACCCGGATAGGTTTACTCGAAAGTGCACTCTATCGACGACTATAGTACGTACGATGGTTTAAGATAGATAAAATTAGTATCGCTATACTAATCGAAAGATAAGGAATCTAATGTAGTTATCGTATCTTAGCTATACCCCTTAGTCGTAGAGATGTAATAGTCGCTAGCCCGAAGGTATAAGAGGTAAGGGGAGAAAAAGGGTAAAACGTAAAAGTTACTTATTCGGCTATAGCGGTACGACGAAGTAACTTAAGCGCCTATAACTAAAATAGATATACTAATCGGAGAACGACGAATCTAATAATAAAAACGAATCTTTAATTAAGGTAAAAATAGCAAAGGTAGTAATCTAACTAGGTAATGAACTAGATCATAAGTATAGCATATCCCGTACTTACAGGAGCTATAGTTACTCTATATAGGCATAAGGCCTATCGTAGCGTATTACGTAATGCATCAAGAGGGCATGTCTTACCGCACTACTACAGTACTTACGGGAGTTATAGTTACTTTATATAGGTATAAGACCTATCGTAACGTATTACGTAATATATAAAGAGGATATATCTTACCGTATTACTATAGCCTCCTTAGTTTAATTATACTGTAAGGGATAATTAAACTAAAAAGGGTAGTACGGTATGTCCTGATTAATATCTCGCTTTAAAAACTACCACGCAACTCCATTCTACCGGCCGTTATCTAATTACTAAGGCCGAGCCTTTATCTTATCGTTTAATATAATGAGGGGGCCCCTCTATTACTTTACGGCTAACTTGGTTCGGTTTACCCTTACCGAGGTAGCCTAACCAGCGTGTTCTTTCTCTATCTCGGCTACCTTATTCTTAGTCTCGGCCTATCCCTTCTAGTTAAGGGGATGGTAGGGGAGCGGGCGGAAGTTATGGTAAAAAGAATATAAAAATAAAATATAAAAATATAAAAAGAATATAAAAAAAAGAATTAGAGAGAGAGAGGGAGAAAGAAGGTAAATTAAAAGTAAAATTAAAATTTTAAATTAATAATAAGAAAGGCAGGCTAGAGATTAGTAAGAATATAATAATTATAAAGGGAGAGGGTTTCGGAATGGGATACCTAAAGAGGAAAAAAAAAGGGAAGGAGAGAAACGCGTTAATGATAAAGTTAGATATACCTTTATGGTTAACGTTTCAGAAAAGCGCGTTCCCTCGTATACGTATAGAACTATAATAAGGGATACGTTAATGTCACGTAGGCATGCACCCCTAGTAGGAATCACCTAGCTTACCTAAGCTGGTTAAGCACTACTACATATACCTATAAATTACTCCATACTCTCTAGTAGCTTTTCTTCTTTTCTAGTTAGTTAATATATACCTTCTTACCCGTATTTTATTACTCCTTTTATGCGTAACCTATTAATCCATACGTAGCTCTCGCTAGCTACGTAATAGTTATAAGCCCGGGTACTTCTAAGGAGCTATTATTACTTGAGTTATTCTAACGTAAGTAAGTAATATATATTTATCTATCTTTTAGATCTTACGATTATTCTCCCTTCTTATTTCTATACCGGTACTTTACTCTCGTATCTAGTATTAGATAATTACTTACCTATTTGCTATAACGATTAATACATCCGAATTCTCCTTAGATAAGATTTTAATTAACGTTTACTTACGAGCTTACGATAAATAGCTACGTTAGTTTCTTGCGCTTAAGTCGATAGCTACTTAGTTTAGTATTTAAAAGAACGTTAATTTAAATAGAGCTAAGTTTAACCTTAGTCGAGTTATAGTAGGTATCCTTAAGGAGTATATTACTTAAGAAAACGAACTCCTTAAAGAAAACTATAAGAAAGCGGTTTACGAATAGGTATCGATCCTAACCGAAAACCGAGGAAATTAATTACTAAGGCCTAAGGCTCGAACTCGAAAGTAATAAACGGCTTTATATAATAAGTTCGTTTTCTAATAAATAACGATTAAGGCTTAGGTTATAGCTATTAATAAGTAATATAAGGTCCTCTATAGCTAGATTCTCGCTTTTATTTCTATAAGATTTCTTAAGGTAGTTAATATAAAGATATAGTTCCTAGACCTCGACCCGATTATTTAAAACCTCGTAAAGATCTTCCGTAAATAAATTACTCCTACCGAAGCCGTTATTAAGACGCTAGTTAAGCGAAAACATCAAAAGGTATTCTAAAGAATAAAGGTAAGTACCTATAATCCCGAGTAATTCTACGCTACGTAGTAATATACCTTCCTTCGTACTCGCGTTTATTATATTAACGAAATTAAAGGTAATATAAGAGTAAAGAATTTCCTTGAAGTAATTAAGGCTAAGATCGTAATCGATTAAGTTACTCGGGTATTAATCGCTTTTACGGAAGCTAATAAACTCGGCGAATAACTAAAGATCCTTAAGTAATTAGGTATCGTATTTAACGCTTTCGCTACCGAGAATAAGTAGAAAGGTAAATTAGGTTATAGAATTTTCATAATAGCCTACTAAGGTTTAATATTAGAAGCGAAATTAAGTAATAATAGCGGCTAAGGAAAAGTAACGAGCTATGAATATCCTTATAAGTCTAGAGGTAAACTATATATATAATTAATTCGCTCTTATAGAATCCTTTAGAAGTCCGTTATTAATTAGACTATACGCTACCTAAAGCCTATCCCGGCTAATATTATAGGAAGAATTAAGGCTAAATACGAATTACTTAAATACGTTAAGTTTCGAAATTAGATTAACCGCTAAGGGTAAGACGTTCTCGTAAATAATATATCTAATAATCGCTCCGGAAATGGGAGAGGAAATAACGCTACTATATAATTAGCTAATATTAACGTAATAATTATAAACCTACGTACTATATATATATTTACTTAAATTAAGATTTATTTTATAATAGATTTAATCCGATACTTACTATCGGAAAGTACCGTTTTCGATAATTATAGAGTTATTTACCTTATTAATAATCGTAACCTTTTAGTAGAGGGGTCGTTCGTTACCGTTAGAAACGGATGAATAGTCGAAGCCGGTACTATAAGCTTCCCTATTATTAGCACGGGTCGTAGGATTATCGAGAAATATATCTTAAATTAATTTAATAAGCCTACCTTTAATCTAAAGCTTTAGAACGTCGTACTTATTAAAGATTTCTACGTTAATATTATCTTTAAGGCGAAACTTTATCCTATAGGTATTTAGTTTTACGGTTTAAATTATACTTTAAGGAATAAAACTCTTAAGAAAAGTACTATAGTAAGAAAGCTAAAGCGACGCTTTAACCTAGTCTTTTTCGAATTTAAGTAATTCTTTTCTTATTCGTAAGTCTTACTTATGATATTATTTATAATACTATCGAATATTCTACGTAACGTAGCGTCGATCGTAGTAGTACCTTATTTCCCGGAAAGAAACGTCCCGTAAAGAAGATCGAGAGATACTACTAAACCGAGAGAAGATTCCGAGGTATTTTAATACTAACGAGTAAGGTATCTTAATTCTAAGGCCCTTAGAGCCTTCGTTAAAAACGCCCCAAATATTAAAATTAACGATATATCTATAAATAAGTATGAGTATTATAGTTAAGCGATAAGTAAGAGAGTAATCTCGCGCCGTTTATTAATATATCGCTCGCTACGTTCTTTTTAAAATGTATATTAGGATTTATTTCATTACCCGGAAGGTTATGACGGATCTAAGTAGCTTATCATAATTAAAGATAAATTTAACGGAATGTTATATATTAAGACCCTAGAGAGTAAGTAAGGTTTACTAGTAATAAGAACTCTTCGATTCTAAAAAATATAGGTTTGGAAGTAATTCCGATTCTTAATTTATAAGATACGTTATAATAACGAGCGTTTAATAATAAGCATTAAAGGTATATCCGGATATAAGATCTAGGTAATAAAAGAAGGCATTAATTTCGAACTCCCGCCGGTTAATATTAAGGAGCTAACCGGTAAGAATAAGAGAGTAAGATAGATTATTATCGTTAAGTCGATTAAAATAAGGATTAAAGTAAGGCTACTAAAGAAACTATAACTAGAAACCGTTAAAGCCGTAGTATATCTAATTAATATTAGCCCTAGTTAAGCTTATAATCTTCATATACCTTACGAGCTCTTAAATACCTGGTTTAAATGATACTTTAGATAATATACTCTAGAGATAATAAGGAAATTAACGAGCGACCTACGACCGGA